TAATTAAATAATTATTAATAAAATAAAAAAGATTTAAAAAATTTTTTTTAAATCTTTTTAAAAAAGATTTTATTTACTTACTTATTTGGAGAAAGAGAGAGCCCAAGCAGGGGGAAAGGGGCAGAGGAGAGGGAGAAGCAAACTCCCCGCTGAGCAGGGAGCCCGACTCGGGGCCTGGTCCCAGGACCCGGAGATCATGACCTGAGCCAAAGGCAGATGGTAAACCAACTGAGCCACCCAGGTGTCCCCAGTAAATAAAATCTTTAAAAAAAAAAAAAAAAAGGAAGTGAAGATAGATAGTACATCCATTCACTTACTCCATGAATATTATTTTCGGGTCTGCTGTTTGACAAGCACTGTGATTAACCAGAGAGGCAGGGTGTGAGAGAGACCATTAACAAGAACATATATTAATAAAGTTTGATGAGTGCTATGAAGAAAAGAAACATGATATAAATAACTAATGGGTAGACTTGGTCAGGGTCCTCCTTTCTGAGGGGACATTAAACTGAAGCCTGCAGGCTGACCACATCTGTCCTAAGGGCCAGAGGCAGTGGGCCCAGAAAGGCTGGCACAGAATACACATTTTCATTGAAGTATTGTATGGTTCTAAAAATTGAGGTTAGAAGTCATGATTCCTGTGGCTCTTGCTGTTCATGTGTCACAGCTTCACTGCCCCACGCCTTAAAAACCAAGATCAATTCCCAGGCAGTAGGATACGATATCACAATCTTTTCTTTAATACCAGTGTTTAACCCCCTCCATTTGCCCTACGACTAGAAAAGGAAGAACCTGGAAAAGCTGTCAGGGTATTTTCTGCGATAGGCATCAGAAGACTCGACTACCAATAGATTAAATGCTCCTGGTTTATTGATCTACATAACAAGTGTGGGGGCAGGCGACTCCACGGGTAGGTCACCCGTGTCCCAGAAACATCATCAGGGCTCCGGGGTCTCTGTCTTTCCAAGCTGCCGCCATCAGCATGTTGCGGGTTCTCCCCTTGTGCTCGGTGTGAGTGGGGCAGTTTGGGGCATTTTGACACAGTGGTAGCCAGTAAAAGGGCGGGGGGCATTTCTTCCTGTGTGTTGCTTGTAGAGGTGAGAAATGTTTAACTAGAGCCCCTCCCCATTGCCCCCATCTCAGCAGCCAGGCTCCATCACATGCCTCTAGCCACATAAACCACTGTCCACAGGATTGACACCACTCAACTTAGGTCAGTCACCCGAGTTTGGGGAGGGGGTCACCTTCTCTAAGCACATTGGAGGGTGAACACCCCACAAAATCAGGGGAGGTTCAGCAAGGAAACGGGAACGGACGGGAGGGGCACAGGCCTCAGGACTCCACGGTATTACTGCTGAGGGCGGAGTGCACCGCTGTTACAGGATACTCCGTTTTCTCTTGCCAATGTAGTGACTGTCTTGTTCTGGGCATTTTTGGGTGAAATGGTGAGCAGAGAGTTTGGTGAATCTTGGTGTTAATTTACATCCTCAGCCTTACTAGGGCTTTCTACCTTATCAGTGACATGGTATCCAGCACATGGTGCCTTGACACATTTGCAGTAAACCTTTCTTTTAACTTAAAAATGTCTTCTTATAAAACATATAAATAAGGAAGCATATACAAGGTATATGTATAGTTTAAAAGAATAATAATAAAAATCATGCCTGTTTCTAGTACCTTTGAGGGCTCCCTATGTCACCCTCCCCAGTCACATCCACAACTGCCCCCCCGAGAGATAACCACTACCCTGAATATCTGAGTTAATCCTTCTCTTGTCTTAATGGTTTATATATGTATGTTTCCCTAAGTTTATTTCTCAAACTTTTTTTATGTATCAGAATCACCTAGAGGACTTGTTAAAACACAGATTGCTGGACCCTAACCCGAGTTTCTGATTCAGTAGGTCAGGAGTGAGTCCAAAAATCTGCACTCCTAACAGTTTCTCAGGTGATGTGGGTGCCGCTGGTCCAAGGACCACCCTTTGAGAACCCTTACCCTGGCAGAAGACTGCTTAGCTTTTGTCTGTTGATAAATGGAAGCATATTTTATGTATTCTTTAACTTGGCTTTTTTAAACTCGACATTACATCTTTGAAATTCAACTTGGGCTATATGAGTAGCTACAGGTCATTCATTTTCACTACCGTATAGTATATTCTATTTCTCTTGAATCTTTACCCACAGCCCTATGAGGGAAAAGGAAGGGAAGTAGGAAGCAAATTGCTTAAGGCACCAACAAAAGTGATTGCCCACCCATCAAGCATCCAGTACCCAGTGACCCCTGGCTCACATGGCCCAAGGCATTGTTGCTGCCCTGGGAAAGAAAAGTTCTGAGGTGTCACTTATTTAAGAGCCCCAGGCTCTCCAGGAGGTTTAGGAGGCTTGGGGTGTTGGGGGGTACCAGGCATAGCAGGACCTGCAGACCTTCTAGGACCCTTTAGCATAAACTAGACCTTTTATAACATTGGCCTCCTCCTCTAATCAAATCAGGATAGAAGGGAAGATAACAAACAATATTTGCTTAGAATGAGCTAGACACTGTTGTTGAATAAATTGATTGCAAAGGATCAAAAGGACTGAACTTATGAAAGTATGAAAGAAATATGTTCTCTCTCAAATCTTCTCAATAGCCATCTATGGTATATATGTTTATACTTATTTATAGGAAATGTTAAGAAACTTGCCCAAAGTCACAAACCTAATACCAGGCAGAGCCAGATTTTAAACCCAGCTGTGATGACAAATCACATTGTGTTTTCACTTTACATTGCTGCCTCCCTGGGACTAAAACACAAGCCTTCCCTATTCTTGGCATTTCTCTAACCACTGAGACACACTCCCTAAAGTATGTCCACTTTCTCTGAAAACTGGTTCCAGTTAGTGTTACCCGAACAGCGAAACCGGCTTCCATGGTTCTTTCCATAATTAACTGGAATAGACATGGCATTAGAGAAGAGTGGGCACTGACATTGACACATTGTACTGTCTTTGTTGGACTTGAATGTTTGACTTGGATTTATGTGCCTGACAAGTGACTCCACTGCCTTGTGCTTTTGTCCTGCAGGGGATTTCCAAAGAAGGCCAATAGAACTGCTAGAATAGCTTCTGATGAGGAGATTCAAGGCACAAAGGATGCTGTCATTCAAGACCTGGAACGAAAACTTCGCTTCAAGGAGGACCTCCTGAACAATGGCCAGCCGGTACACAGAGATGGATTTGGGGCCTGAACTTGGAATATTAGCTGCCCACATCAGAGAGCTCTTCCTTCACTTTGGTTCTTGTACTTTGTCCACAAAATTGATCTCATTACCCCTAAATCTGTGTTCTTCTTAGCATTATGGCCTGAATCTGGGGAAAAGGGAGAAAAGTGGAAAGGCTTCCCTCTACTTGGCCTCCACTCTTTCCTGCAGTCTTGGAGTGAAGTTAGCAAGTTGGAGATAAAGAGGAAGGGCTGATTTTAAGGTGGGGAGTAAAATGAGGAATTGCAGCATTAAAAAGAAAAGGGAACAAATCTGGGCTGAGTAGGAGGGGGAAGGTATGCTCTGGAATGATCTATATCTACCACAAGTACCAAAAGGAGAATGTGGATTCTCTGGCATGTACTCCTTCTACACAAAGACTATCTTTACTGAGGAAATGACCCCTGAAGTCCAGTACTGTTCTAGTAGACCATTACGAGATACTGATTCGGTAATCTGAAAGAGTAACGCTTGTTTCACAGTATTGTTCTGCTATCTGTACAGATCTGGTAAACAATATATGTGTAGAAGATGTTTTCACCATTGGACTTAAATGTTTCCTCACCAGTTGTTTCTCGTTTTTTACTAACCCTTCCTCTTACTACATCCGAGTATTTTTAAGGGGACAGGAAGAACAAGTCTCACAAATAAGATTTCCCAGGTGAAGAAAAGGAGCCTTTGGTGGCTTTATTTTGGAATTATCACCAGAAAAATTGGTCCGGCTCTTAAGTAGAAGAAGAAAAGGGCCTCTTTGTATAAAAGCTTCCTCTCAGATACCTTTTTCAGAGTAGAAAGCACTCTATGTTAAATGTTTTCTAGGAATTTTAATTCTCACACATTGATAAATAAAAATGTGAGAACAGAGCATGTTTGATTGGAAAGGTGGAGGATAGAGGAGGGGTGCTGAATGCTGCTTTTAATTATTAGGGCATCCTAATCTGAGTTCAGGAAGATTAAAATTCTAATGAGATCTTGTGTTGGTCATTCATTTCACTGAGAATAGAAGATTTTAACAAAGGGAAAATATTTTTCTCCCTGAAATAAGTAATTGCATGTGTAAATGTGCATACTCTGGAAGTTTCCCCTGGCTCTGTCAACTAAAGCCTTTGAAAGATTAAAACAAATACTCATGGGAACGCCAGCCAAGTAGAGGCATTTCTCCAGTTTTTGGGGGTTTTTTGGGTCTCTGTTTAAATATTCCTTATGGACTAAGATTCTCTTGGTTAAAGAGACTTAAGAAGTTGTTATAGCATACTATGTATATTATATGTTTATCGATCTGTTTAGCAGCAAACGACATTCACAACAAGTTCCATAGATTTCCACATTTGAGAGTTTAAAAGGACAACTTTTTCCTAGTGTTGCATATTATTCTGTTACTTATTTTTGGCTTCTGTGGACAGGGCTTGGACATCCACATGGCCTAGTGGTTTAGAAACAAAACTGAAGTAAATTTGGCTTTTACTGGTAGCAGGTGCATTCTGGCAAAGGACTAGGTATCAAATTGATATTTCTGCTTATAAGGAAAAGGGTGGACATTACTCCAGTCCTACCTTTGATGTTGATGCAGTTCTCCATGAAAACATTAGGAAGGCTTTTAAGAGAGCAGGTATTTAAAACTCTTTTTGAAAATGGAATTCAGTGATTCTTTAACAGATGTGAGAAAATTAATTTAAATAATAACATACTTGGACTGAGACAGTCCATGCACCAAACACCTACCTCGTCTTATCCCCACCCCTTCTTTAGTAAATGAAATAATACGAACTTTAGGACTGTTTGTCATTTGGCACTGACTTGTTTCACTTCCCGGTTTCAGCTGGGACTAGAACCAGCAATTACTGGAAATTGTAAATTTATTCAACATATTTTCCTGATTAGAGAGTTTCCAATAGAATTTGCATCTATGTTCAGAAGTTGGGAAGTTTACGGAAATAACTTCTGTATTTTTTTAAGATTCTGCCTTACTAATTATTCTCTATTTTGAATCAAACACTTGTTTATGGGACAGAGGGTCTCTGAAAGTTCTTCCCAGACCTGTAATTCTAAGGCATTTTAGAACCAAAACTCAAAGGCAGGAAACAGCCCAACAGACAGAACAAAAACACTGGCATTTCTTCTGTGTAAGAATGGCTCCACAAATATGTTTTGGCCAAATCTAGAGTCCTGGCTGCTAGATGCAAAAACGTTGCCACTTTGCCTGATGGGCAAGCAAGCAGTCCGCCTCTGAGCAGAATCTCGAATTATGGATATTAGCTTTGGCAAGTATCTTTCTTTAGCAGTCCTTTTGCTAATTCAGCCATGTGCGACCATTCTTTGTGGACCCTTACATTGGCCTACATTCACCTGCTACACAGCAGCCTAGGAAATGTCCGTAGAGCTGAGAACCCCAAGCAGAGGGGACCCCCGCTGCCCGCTGGTCTAAAACTTCCCTTACCAGAGGCTGGGAGCCCACTAGACTGGTTTGAAGCTTGTGGATGGCTATGGAAAGAACATTTCCTTTTTTTAAAAAAAATTTTGCTATTTGAATATCTTTTTTCTCTGTATGTGTCATGAAGGATGAGGATATGACAGCTATTTTCTGTGTGGCTTCTGCCTTGTTTGGTTATTATATTCACCTTGAATTTGGGCTGTACCAGTTGGTGGCCCCCAACACTGGATTAAGCCACTAAGACCGGAAGGGGAGGTGACAGAACACCAGAAGGAAGGGAAAGAAACAGACCCCTTTTACATACAGGCATCTGAAGGTTGAGAGAAAATAGTTACAGAAAACACCAAAACTCATTTTTTAAAATTCCTTATCGTGAGGCAGTATGTAATTGTGAATTTTCTAACTTTGTAATTTTTGTGACTACTTTGCTTAGAGGCTCACCTATGAAGAGAGAATGGCTCGTCGACTGCTAGGTGCTGACAGTGCAGCTGTCTTTAATATTCAGGAGCCAGAAGAGGAAACAGCTAATCAGGTAATGTGTTCTTCTGGACTAATTAGAAAAATATTAATTATTCTGTCCCTTCTCCCCATCCTCTTTATGGACACTGTTCTTGGGCTCAGTTCTGTGGGAAGTAGAGGGCAAGTCAAAGAAAAGCAGTATTAATATCACCAGTCAAGCTCATAGCTAATAATTACTGAGCACATAGCGTGTGCCAGACAGGTGTGTTACGTGACTGGTAAGAGTTATTTCAGTCAGTGATACCTGTTCTTTTTATTTTCTTACTGATCAGTTTAGTCTCCTTTCAAGTATCGTTCTGATTTTCCCATCCTGTGCTTTAATGCAAAACCGTCTCTGGGGAGAAACATATTTTCACTGAAACTGTGTGAAATAGGTAGTGAATATTTCCAGTTATGTTCTTAACATCTAGTCAAGGTAAAATATCTGTGTATAGAAAAAATGATGTTTCTTTTCCTTCACATATACAGTTAGAAATCACTAATCAGCAGAAAACCTAAATTGCTATTTTTGTTCCCCCGCTGCCGCCAAAAAAAAGTCCCTTCACGGATTTGATGTAAGCTGTTTTATAATCTCCACTGCTTCTGCTTGGAGTTTCCAGATGTAGTCTCCAGATTAAAGAAAGCTTTTTAAAACGTTTAAAGGATCAAGTAAACTCATAGATATTGAGAAACAGCTGTGCCTTCAGTATCTGAAGATTTTTCGGTGTTAAATATTGCTACCACAAAAATTTCACTTAAAACTAGAAATCTTGCTAGATTCTTATTTCTGTTATTAGTCTTCACTTCTTTTTTTCTACCATTACAGGAAATTGGGTCTCCTCATGCTTCTGTAGGGAGTCCTCTGGACGGTCAAAAGGTTAAGCTTTTCACCTTTCTTCTCCTTCCGGTCTTTCACTGTATCTGTTTCTTGTGTTCTTCCTTGTTTACCTGTGTATCTATCTTGACTGCCACGTATTAATTACAAATACTATGACCAGTGTCTGTTTTAATATCAGATGAACAGAATTACTGTAGTGTGCTTTTTGTCATATATTACAAACTTGAATTTGATTCTGTCACCATTGAATACTCTGAACTGTAAATTGTTAAAAGTTTCTCATTTGTTACACCTTTCTGGGGGGAAACGCACTGATTCTTAAACTGATTAATTTGATAGTAATTAAAACAAAACAACTGTATTTTTTGCAGTTTTACTCATACTCTTGTATTTCTTCCCTCAAGACAACTGTTTTTCAAAGGTGGGGTAGCTTCTTTATGAGAAAACCTAGTTAAAACATCTTTTATTTGTTACTAAAGACAGTATTTTATAATGGGCTGCCTTGTTTCCATTGTGCTTTTTATAAGCAAGTGAACTGTAGGATCCCCCTTCATCACCATAGGATGTTGATGGCTACTCTGCTTTTGTCTTTTTAATCAGAATTTTGACTGGACTGTCAATTCCATTTTTCTTTTAAAGAGGGTGGAGAGTAGTTCCTACTAGCTGCAAAGCTGAGGAGGAGTTCAGAGGCTATGTGGCTGAGGATTATTAGGAGTGAAAAAAAATGCCATGTTTTCCATTATCCGCTTGATGAAATGCTCTGTAACCCTGCAGCTGCTAGCCACGCACACTGTCACCTTTCTGAAGCGTGGCACTGCCCTGCACAGCTTTCACCTACAGAAAGAAACCGGAGTTCCATCGTGTTTTATTTTTATGAACAGTTTAGGAATACAAAGCTGTTGCCTTTTTCTTTCTTTCCCCACACCCCCCAAGAGAAAAGAGAAAGAAATTCATCTTCATAGTTTTTTGGGGGGAGGAGGATGATAAGACCTGAAGACAATTTGAAATATCATATATACTTACTTCCAGATGTTTTTTGTTTTATATGGAATTGAGTTGGGTTCAGACTTGTTTTTAAGTCTCTGGTAAAAAGATCACTGTCTTCTGAGTGCCTCATTGGAGAGGAGAATAAGACTCCTGAGACACGTGGGACCACACGGGACTGAGGTTGCTAACATGACCTTTTTCCGCCTGATACAGGAATACAAAGTCTCCAGCTGTGAACAGAGACTCATCAGTGAAATCGAGTACAGGCTAGAGAGGTCTCCTGTGGATGAATCAGGTGATGACATTCAGTATGGGGACGTGCCTGTGGAAAATGGAGTGGCACCGTTGTTTGAGATGAAGCTAAAACATTACAAGATCTTTGAGGGAATGCCTGTAACTTTCACATGCAGGGTGACTGGGAATCCAAAGCCAAAGGTAAGCTGAAAACATAGCTTTTTAAGAGTTCTGTTTTCTGTGGAAGTTTAGCTTCCAAAATACAGTGTGTATAATAGGAGGAAGAGATACAGACTACCTTTCTCAGGACCCATGATGTAAAATGTTCGAAGTACTATTTAAGTTCAGGGCCTTCCTCAGGAGGCATCAGAAACCAAAAAGAGTAGAAGAGTAGAGTTTGGGTTTGAAGAATTGAATAAGAGAATAACAATCGACAAGAGCTTTTCGTATACCTACAGCATTTACTCACGTGATGTTATCAGTGTCACTCGCAAATTGCAGGTGACAGAACTGAGCTCAGTGAGGTTTGATTAACTTGTCCAAGGTCAGGGAGCTGGTGAGCGGCCAGGCTTGAACACGAACCCCATGCTGTGTATCATATAGAGAAGCAGTGCTTACCATGGATTATAAAAACTTCAGATCTTTCATCTACAAAACCAAAGCTTCCTGTATTTACAAAGGGGCTAGGGGCCAGAATACTGTTGAGAAAGGATATTCAGAGGAACTTCTGATACTCAAGAGGACTAGGCTGACCTAGATGGAAGCCCTCTTCCTAAAGACACATGGAAACAGCTGGATAAAGAGTTGCCCAGTCTGTAAAGGGAGGCGAGAATAATTGCTCACTAGTCCAGAAAGCAATAAACAGAATTACACTTTTCCCTGGAACTTGGAAGAAAAGAATAAAAAAGATGCCCATGAGAAATGGAAACTCCACATTTAGACTTTCACATGATATGAAGCCAAAAGCTGCAAAATTAATATGAAATTTAGTCCAGGATGATTAAAATCCTTGTTTCTGGCAGACGCAAGCAAAAACTGCCCTAGAGAACACTCTCGCAATTTGGGGCATATCAAACTTCGGTAGGTTAAGAGGGAGGAAGAAGAAATTCACAGTAAAAACTTACAAACCATATGGGAAACAACAATAAGGAGAATCAATAGCAAAAGAAACAAGAAAATAGAAACTCAAGTATTGCACACTATTGAACGGCCTTAAGCAAACTATAAAATAACTATGTTTAAAATGATTGAAACAATTTTAAAAGAAAGAGAATCTGGGGGCACCTGGGTGGCTCCGTGGGTTAAGTGTCTGCCTTCAGCTCAGGTCATGATCCCAGAGTCCTAAGATCGAATCCTGCGGCAGGCTTCCTGCTCAGTGGGGATTCTGCTTCTCCCTCTGCCCCTCACCCCACTCATGCTTGCTCACTCTCTCTCTCTCAAATAAATAAAATCTTTTTAAAAAATAAAAATAAAGAAATAAAAGAAATAGAAACTTAACAGGACAGTACCAAAGCCCAAGCAAATTTGTAAAATAAGCATATCGAAATGAAAAATACACTCACTGAAATTAAAAGCTTAACAGTGGTATCACAGAGAAAAAGCAAAGAAAATAGCCTTAAGTTTTCAAATGCATATCTACCTTCTAATAAGATGAGACTTTTATAATAATTGAGCAAACTTCTTTATTCTTGGCATAATTTGGATAATTGCTCTGTATTCACAAAACAAATTCATGTACTAAAAATAAATGTGCAGCTTATGAATGAAACTCAACAAGAAATTGTATGTTAAGCTTCCAAAATCTTCACAAAGATCCCTTGTTATTTTTAAATCTTACTCAAGGCTTAAGGTCATTAAGTTCTAAGATCACTAATTCTTGTTTTAAAGAACGCTATGTTCACCTGAAAGATGAGCTGTTGTGTTTAACATAACTCTGCTTTTCTAGTAGGAATTTAAATGTTTCACAACTTTAAGAGGCTTAATTTTTTAAGAATTTTTATTGTCTTCTTTCACCTTTCCTTCCTTCTTCCCCTTCCTCCCTCCTGTCCTCACTGCGGTTCTTTTTCTTCCACACATGGTATACAAATTACGTTAGGACTATTAAAGTATGGGATATTCATCATGTTTAAAAAAATACATCCTTTTTTTTGGTTATTTTTTTTTTAATTGTATTCTGCCCTTGACATGCTTGTTCCATATGGAAACATGAGAAGATGGGAAAGAATTTCTAATTCACCCTGTTTTCATCTCTTGTACTCTCCCCTTCCCTCTGATTAGCAGTCTTGGTAAAATTGTTGGAACTACTTCTTAATTCTCATTTGAAAGTCGTATTCCAAGTACAATGAAGGTGAGAAGTATGATTAAAGGAAAGAAACAAGTCTGAAGACCTGGCATAGTGGCAAGAATGCAAAAGGAAGAAAGTGTATACTAATCACAGCTTCTTTGTTCCATCAGAAAACATAAAACCACCAAGAAGAGAATGATAGTTATGAAGTATCATGCTTTATCTAATTTTTAGAACTTAGAGTTATGAGTCTAGTTGATCCATTTTTAGATTCTGGAGATTAATAATATAGTCTGTAAATTCAGAGCTAATTGAAAAAATAGGGGTTGGAAAAGTTTCAGCAGTCAGATCCCAATTATTCATGTGCTTATTTAGTGCTATATACACTTCTAGCTGTTCCTTTCTTAAAATATAAGTTTCAAAGAGATTTTTCAGATTCAGAGGCTTTCATAGAGAGCTGAATTTGAGTGCCAGTTGTGGTCTCAATTTGCATATGGATTTACATTAAGGAAGAAGTTCATTTTAAAAACTGAAGGTTCTAAAGTAGGTTTCTTCTGTTAGGAATGAGCTAGGAATGCTTTAGGATGCCAGGAACAACAGCTGACAACAAAGAACTTGTTGCGGCTTTAGAAAGGGGGATTTGTTTAGTTCCCTAACCATTAAGTCTGGAGGTGGGTTGATGCAGGCATTGGTTCAGCATCTCAGTCATGTGAGGGCCGGTGGCCCTGTGATTCATCATTATGGCCCCATGTCTCCGCTGTCAGAAATAATAACTAAATCATAGGGGATCCGCGGACCAGTGATTTTATTTAAAGATCAGGGAAGGTGGTAGGACCTGCGAAAGAGGTAGTTTGACCATTTTAAAATGTGTTATTTAGTCCAGATTTATTTTTACTTTATTCTTCACATTTAATTTTCTATCAAACCAAGTTAAAATATTATGGAAAATTATTGTAAGTTTAAATACTACTGTGTTTTCTTTAACAGTGGGGAGAGTGGACAAACTTTTTTTAAATTTTTTTAAAGACTTTATTTATTTGACACAGAGAGAGCACAAGCAGCGGGAGCGGCAGGCAGAGGGAGAAGCAGGCTCCCCGCAGAGGAGGGAGCCCGATGCGGGACTCAATCCCAGGACCCCGGGATCCTGACCTGAGCCAAAGGCATCTGCTTAACCAGCTGAGCCACCTAGGCGCCCCCTTTGAGCATCTGCTCCTTGGCCCAGAGTTAAAGCAGTAGAGCTCACCCATCACCAATCCCTAACTGTTGCTCCTTCCTCACTGCCGTTTGGTCTAACACAATTCAGCGGAATGGTTAGAGTTCAACTGTTATTCTCTAAAATAACCTTTTTACCTTCTTCCCTTTGCTTTACAAGTAACACATTTTCCTTCAGTGCATTTCATTCAGTACATGTGAAAATAGAAGCAAAAAGAAAAATGCCTGTAGAGCCACCCCAGAACTAACCACTGTCCACGTTCAATATAGATCAGTCCATATAAATAATATGTAAAAAATATGTGAATAATGTGAATACTTATATACATTTTAAAATTTTTAAAAGATACATAATTTTTAAAAACTAAAATAGAATTAAACCTGTTTGTTACCTAGTTTTTTCACTCAAAAGTCAATTTCCTATTAAGATGTTCTGTTTAACATTTTAACATGAAAACTCTGATCAGCTCTGCAGGCCACACAGTTAGTATTTACCAATTCCCCTAATAGAGTAGTACTACACACATCCTTAATCTTCCATCACTGTTTCCTCTCACAGATCTATTGGTTTAAAGATGGGAAGCAGATCTCTCCAAAGAATGATCACTACACCATTCAAAGAGATCTTGACGGGACCTGCTCTCTCCACACCACGGCCTCCACCCTAGATGATGACGGCAATTACACAATTATGGCTGCAAACCCTCAGGTAAAGATTAAGGGTATAGGTCTGGCTTCAGTTCTGTGCGTAGCACTTACAGGCATTTATTTGGAGAAAGGAACTGTTTAATTAAAAGGTGGAATCATTTCTTTGACTTGAAACTATCTCCCCAAATTCTACATCCATTTTGGTTCGGAGGATAGAAAAATTCTTTATTTCATTAGTATTTACTTACTCCATCAGGTGTTTTTCACATGAATAATTCCAGTGCAGATGTGTATTCGTCCTACAAATCTTAATCAGTGCCTGAAAGGTACATTTCTTATGCTGGTGGTGGGGTTGCAGTGGTGGCCAGAACAAAGTCCTGAGGTAGAAAATAAGCCAGTAAACACATACATAAATAATATCATTTCAGATAGGATTAAGTTCCTGAAGAAAAAAAAAGGAGAAAAGGATAGTGAGTGGCATACATAAATATGCTGTAGTAAAAAAATCCTCAAAAAGTAAAATATTTAAATTTAAAGAAATACATACACTTATTTAATTCAATGGAATTTAAGTATATAAATGTAGACAAATTATAATTTTGATAGCATCTGTGTATGGCATTCAGGATTAGTTTCCATCCAAATGTGTTCTCTTGTTTTTGCCCTTAGATTTAGGGTCAAAAAATCAGCTGACTATTTAGAATTTAATAGGCAGCTACTGGGTATCAGGTTCCTAAGTCAAGCCTGCAAGTTCTTCTCTGAGTGTCAGGTATGTTTTAGGCACTGTGCTGGGTAGGAAGGATGCAAAAATGAGTAAGAAGTGATTTTGTACCTTCAGAGCTCAATGTATGACAGGGTAATTTTACAAAGTCAGCAGAAGTCACAGTTTCCATATTAAATATGCATTTTCTTGAGGTTCTAATTTTTCAGTCAGTGAATAACATGACCGTCACCTTGAAAAAGGTCAAAAGCACAACTTTAACTAAAAGTTACATTGTAATACTTTGTGTTCATGTTTGGAGGATTTGAGGGAAAAGAAGTGGAACTTGCTTTTTTCTTATTATAATTTAAGTATGTTTCCTTGACTATTAACAGATTTCAATTTTCAGTTTTCTGCCTATTAAAATAATAGTGGAGAACTCAGAAAAAATCCAGAATTTTTCTTCATGCTAGGTCCTTTATCCCTCTCTCCCCTAGAAAGGTTGAAATGTATTATAAGAGATTGAATTAACTGTGTTCCTTAAGCACTTGCCAGTCCTGGTCCTGATGTTAATTTTGAGGCATTTTTCCTAGTGAATGTTTTAAACCGTTATTGGAGTCTGTGGTTTTCTAGAACAAAGAACATAAATGTAAAATTGCAATTATGAGTCTGCTTCTAGTCTTCTTCAAATTACACTAATGTAGTTTTACATGTGGAAAATCTAAACGGGGAGGGACTCTCCTGGCCATGAGCAGAGTTGGAGACTACATGCCAGCCTCCAAGCATTAAACTACTGACAGGTTATGATGAAGTCACTAGATGAAGGAGGGCTGCTGAAGATCCCCTTAGGAACACAGAAGAGGAGGAAGGGAAAGAAATAAAAAAAATGAAATGACACAACAAAGACCAGAAATGCAGAATAGTGCTGGTGCTACTGAAAAGCCTAAGTGTACCCGTGGAGTTCAGGGGTTAAGAGCATGAACTTTGGCATCAGACAGATCTGAGTTGAATTTCTGCCTCTGCCCCTCACCACTCATGTGACCTTTAGCAAGTCACCTAACCTCTCTTTCCTCTGAAACGAGAATAATCATATGGATTTAAGTCATGCATTCCGTCTACATGGCACGGAACAGGCTTTCAGTAAAAGCTCGTTATTGTCATTATTTTAATTCAGAGACACTAATAACCCTGTCTTAAAGCAGCAGCCCTGAAAGTGGGCGGAAGCCTGTGGAATTAGGGTGTAAAGGATGGTTCTGTTTCTAGATATTCCAGTCCTACTGCTGGAGCAAGCAAGTCAGTTTGGGATGGAGTTTCTCCCCAACATGTTGCCGGTGTGTGGTCCTCTGACCTCCTGGCTTTTCCTTTTTACCACCCCCATGGGAAAGGAGTGTGCCAGGCAGCGGATGTGGCTTTGCCACAACTGCCACAGCTGTGGGCCTGGGCGGGGGGCGCCATGGGGAGCCGTGGGCTCGCGACGGGCCGCACCCCCAGCGCAGCTGACAGGAGCCACACATGAAGCTGGGAAGTTGCTCTGCTCCCAGCACACTCAGGGCCAAAGGAAGGCCCAAAAGAGAGCTGTCAAGGCCCTCGTTCCAGTCCCCAGTGAATTCAGGACACGTCCTGGATCCCAGGGCACGTCCCACAGTTAACCCTCTCTCGTTCTTGGCCTCTACCCTTCGAAGAGAAGACAAAGAAAGAGAAGTGGACCAGTTTATGTCAGGTAGCCAAGAGCCCGGCCCAGAACAGAATATCCCATGTGATTTCAGCAAACAGGAGTATGACTGCTCTGGTCTGTCAGAGGCAGCAAAAGAGTCCAAGAACTCCAGAGGGCACAGAAACCAAAGCAGTTCCAAAACCTAGAATTCCAGCTGCCCCTCAAGGTTAGCTGATCCAGCCCGTATTCTAATTAAAGGGGGTAAGACTAAATTATGTCTCCTTTTCTACCTAAATGAGCAAAGGCAGGCACAGGAGGGGAAACTTGTGAAAGAATCTGAGGAAATCCTAAAAGTGGGCATGTAGGGGCACCTGGGTGGCTCAGTTGGTTAAGCGACTGCCTTCGGCTCAGGTCATGATCCTGGAGTCCCGGGATCGAGTCCCGCATCGGGCTCCCTGCTCAGCAGGGGGTCTGCTTCTCCCTCTGACCCTCCTCCCTCTCATGCTCTCTGTCTCTCATTCTCTCTCTCTCAAATAAATAAATAAATAAAATCTTAAAAAAAAAAAAAAGTGGGCATGTAGACCTCAGATGGAAATTGCTGTGAAAGAATTTTTATATTTAGGGTACTTGGTATTAATTGCTATTCCAAGTCTCAGCATGTTGCCTGGTTGATTTTAATTTCAAGAACAGAACTCTCCTGGCGTCTTCAGTAGCAGGTATGTGCAGATATACCAGATGTACGTTTTGTGAGCTATCACCTAGGAACTGGACAGACTTCACTACCCATTAGAAAGACAAAGAGGTATTTAAACCATGACAAAAAGCAGACCATTTTTTTACTTAATCCTTGATATAGGTTATCCTTTGTTGCTTACAGGAATACCATAACAGAAATGTTTAACAGTTTTAATCTCTACTTTATGTTATTATATGTTAAGGTATTTTGCCATTCTTGTAATTTGTGAATTAAAACCTGATTTGAGGAGCACCTGGATGGCTCAGGTCATGATCTCAGGGTCCTGGGATCGAGCCCCACATTGGGCTCCCTGCTCAGCGGGAAGCCTGCTTCTCCCTCCTTTGCCCCTCCCCCCACTAGTACTCGCTCATGCGCATGCGCGCCCTCTCCCTCTTTCATAAATAAAATCTTTAAAAAAAACATGATTTAAAAGAAGCATGATATAAGGCACTGAGAAAATTTTGAAAAGTCAAAGCTGAATTTTTTTTTTTTTTAAGGTTTTATTTATTTTGACAGAGACACAGTGAGAGAGGGAACACAAGCAGGCGGAGTGGGAGAGGGAGAAGCAGGCTTCCCGCCGAGCAGGGAGCCCGATGCGGGGCTCGATCCCAGGACTCTGGGATCATGACCTGAGCCGAAGGCAGACGCTTAAGGACTGAACCACCCAGACACCCCGAAAGCTGAATTTTTTAGGATACATTAATCCCAAAAGCATATAGTCAAAAGAAAACTTAAGTTGATTCCCCAATTCCTCGATACCGTCTGGTTACCTTAAACTTTTTTCACACTTTAAATATATTTGGTTTGAAAGGGAGACAACCACATCTGATTTTTCTGGTACACTGTAGTATACATGATGTGAAATAACCAAGGGAAAGAGGAAAAGGCTGGAGTGGAAAAATGAGCTCAGTAATGAAACACAGACGGCAGAGCTTCCCGGAGCAGTGGAAAGTAATCACAGAGAGCAGCCAAGAGAAAGGGTGAGAACCAAGGAAAGAGAGAAATACTAAAGTTCAGCAAAATATTTTATAGAATATTTTTCCACCTGGGTTCATCTTTGGGGAATAAGAAACACGTTAGATATTGTTAACTGCATCCAAATTCTACTTGGGATGAACACACAGCTCTAAACATATACTGGACACTGTGTATCACACTCAGTGTGTGCTGCTAGGGCAATTCATGAGAGACCAAAGCAATCACATAGTTGAGTGAAATAATGAGTGATTATGCAGTGCTACACCAAACATGATGCCAAAATGAGGATCACAAATGCCGTTTTAGACTCTAATCCTATCTTTAAGACACAACTAAATCTAAACATGAATGTTTTACTTTGTTTTGTTGTGTTGCTAAGTTACTCTGTGCTGCACTTGGAGTTTGGAAGGGCTGTTTTGCAACTTGATGTTTCCTCAAATTGCATTATGTATACAAGTGGCAAGCTTTTATAAAGACCTGTGTGCCACAGTTAAATTTCATAAGCTAGGAAATATAAATGTTATTTCCATATTATATATATATATTTCCATATAAATAATTGGCCTTGCGTGAGGCATAAATAATCTTTACAAGCTGGATGTTTAATACATAATCGCATTAAGAATTCAAACTTATTACTTGTTCTATAGCTTTAAACTCTGTGGATTTGTTTGGAATAGAAAAGTAACACACAGCTGAATTAAATTTAAGAAGTGGGTTTGCTTGTGTTTTGTTTTAGCATTAGAAGGTTTCCTGGCTCATTTAAACATTCACTTCCATTATTCCTTCATGTGTTAATAATAAAGTCGATAGAAATGAGAAAGTTAAAAGCAAAGGCAACAAACAGCACTAATGTGCATCAGAGCCTAGAAGTCACGACGATTACTAGGGTTAACTGGCATATTAGTGTGATTAAAATTTTGTATGACCTTCATAAATAAGACGCCCAAACTTAAAAATCTGAACTTTGAATTGTGTATATCTTTTCAAAAGTGTTTCACTGAATTCTGGGGTTTTTTCCCCAAATAAAAATGTCAAAATTATACAACTTGTTAGTTTGGTTGCTTTCTAAATGCTCCTGGTCATTTATTGGTTAGTAATATATATATTTGGCCAATATCACTGTATTATCAAACTCATAATTCTGCCTCCTGAAGATCATGCCATTCCCTTTTATGTTCAGAATGAAACATGGTGTAGGAGTTAAAAAGGTGACAAATGGTGACATATTCCTTTTTCTTAAATTTGGGTAAAGATATTCTGCGGCAGTATTTGTGTATATGTTTCTAAGCAGTAGCAGTAAAAATCTTGAAAACATTGTAGAAATGTGTAATCTTTAGAGAGTAGTATGCCAACCTATTGACCCTATTTTTTGGAGAGGGAAGAGGAGTCAGGGTTTATCTAAACTAAGCAGAGTCAAATGGTTAGAGTTGAGTAGGACATCTTTTATCTTACACCTCAAATGCAGCCATTACATAAATGAACATGTTGAATATACCAGTGTGCCTGGCACCTTTTAAGCAATAGCATACATTTTTCCTTTGGAGTAAATTATATCCTAATACAAAAGGAAAGAAAGAGAGGGACGGAGGGAGGGAGGGAGGAAGGAAGGAAAGAAGGAAAGAAAACCCCACTGCATGTGAAAAAAAATTGTTTTTAAAATAATTCTAAGGGATGCTTCATATCCATCTGGTCATTATTATAATTATATCCATATTCAGTGCTATAATGACTTAACATTTTGAGTGTTTACTATGTGCAAAACACAAGACTAAGTGCTTTACACCTATTAACTCATTTAATCTTCATAAGAACCCACCATGCAAGATTGATTAACTATATGGTTCTATTTTATAGATAAGGAAGCTCACTTAGGAGGTTAAGTTACCTGTCTAATGTCACTCATTTATAAGGGACAGGCCTGGTTTACAAACCTAGACTGACTCCAGAGCTAAGGAGGGTCATACAAAGGTAACTAGGGCTCATTCCAGTGTTAAGAGCACTGAGGGAAGAAGTTGCTGCGGCTGAGGTCAAAGAGGTTGCTGCCTGTGTTCTCCTTTAGGATTTTGATGGACTCCTGTCTCACATTTAGGTCTTCCAACCATGAGGCATGGGGTGGCTGGGTGATAGACATTGGGGAGGCTATGTGCCATGGTGAGCACTGTGAATTGTGTAAGACTGATGAATCACAGACCTGTACCTCTGAAACAAATAATACATTATATGTTAAAAAAAGATAGTAGGAAGGTAAAAATGAAGGGGGGGAAATCAGAGGGGGAGACGAACCATGAGAGACTATGGACTCTGAGAAACAAACTGAGGGTTCTAGAGGGGAGGGGGATGGGAGGGTGGGTTAGCTTGGTGATGGGTATTAAAGAGGCACGTTCTGCATGGAGCACTGGGTGTTATAGGCAAACAATGAATCATGGAACAGTACATCAAAACTAATGATGCTATGTATGGTGATTAACATAACATAATTAAAAAATTAAAATTAAAAAAGCACTGAGAGGCAGGGGAGACCATCGTTAAAAGAGGCATTTGAAGGAATCAAAAAAAGGAGGTGGGGTGTACTCACGCAAAGTATAACCACTTGGAGAAATTTATTGGAGTCTTTGAACAAAGGTGTCGGGACCCCTAAAAATCATCTTGATGCATGTCTGTGCATACATAATGTCTAGAAAAACAATACCTGCAATGACTAATAGTGATAATTTATGATATCAAGATCTATTTGATATTTGGAAGATAAAGATCATCTTAGGTTGTGTCATTTAATCTTTACAACATCTGTGTGAGACAGATATATCGTGCCCTGGTTTTTACAGAAGAAGAAACAAAGCCTTGAACAAATATGGTTACTTGCCCAGTGTTAGGAAAGTCAAAACTCAAATCCAGGTTAGAGAAAATTTTTTTATCTGCTTCCCCAAATTCAAGGTTAAAGGCTGAATTTAACTTACATCTTTTTCTAACCACATAAATGATTAGTTGATGTTAACTTCCCTTGTGGATCCTCTGGGTTTTAAACCACAAGGAAGAGTCTATCCAAATTATATAGATCTATTTTAATCTATCCAGATTAAAATGATTTGCTTAAGTAGTGCAGCAAATAGTAAGGAAGCCATATCCCATATCACTACAATTTTGAAGCTATTTGTGTAAAACAAAACATAAAATTCCCCTGTCTTTAGCCCCCAAAAGAATCATGGATCTTACATGTTAACTTGTTAAAGCAGCTGCAATGATGCATCAGTTGGGTAATTTTAACGGGGGTCTCCTAAGCAAGTCATGTCTAGATTTTTTGTAGCAGGCATAGATTTGGAGGGGTTAGATGAAATTCATTTTCAGATTTCAGGCTAGCTTAGGGGGACTTCCAAGTTGTTTGCCAAGAGCTTAGCATGAGAGAATTTCCATCGTGTGGCCTGAACTTTAAATAGAACAAATCTGAGTTAGAAATAATCCCCCTCATAATGTTATCCACTTCATGTCTCCTTGGAAATTTTCAAGAAAGGCAGTGTTTAAATATCTCAATAGAAAATACTGTGACTGCTAGAGGAGGTTACATATCTAATGGGATAAGACTACTTCAGTTTTGTTTCTTTACGGCCCCCTCTTTCTATTTGATAGTTCCCAATTCTGTCTGCATTACAATACTATGTGTCTTTGCCTTTTCGGAGTGATCAAGGCCCCAAAGAAGTCCCGTCTGGGGGAGACCTGGATGGTCCTGCTGACTGGATTCCTGCCCTTCACCGAATCCTGCTATGGGAGTTTCTCTGTGTCCCCTCCACCACCGTGCTCCCTCACCCCAGTTCATTCTCAGGTGGAACTCAGCAGTTCCTCCAAACATATAGAACACTTGTGCTTCTGTTACCTGTCTATACAGGCAACTTGGCAAAATGAGGGTCAGTGGTAAATTTGGACTACGAAGTGCACCTGAGGGCGGCTCATCCACTGTGAGCTAGAAATCCCTAAGTCTAATCATTCATTATCTGCTTCTCATTTTTCCTCTCACTGTTCCCTCGCCATCATCAGAATTTAGAAGTACAACTGCTCACATTCTCCTGGGATATAAGAGGAGAAAATCATCTATTTTGCTACTCTAGATGTAATAGGGGAAAAAAAGGGGCTAAAACAAAAAACCAAAGTAACAATGGTGATTTATTCATGTCATCTGAGTCCTCTAAGTATTACTTTTGTCTGTCCTAGGACAGCACTTATATCAGTTTTTCAATTTGAGAGATAAATTTAAGAGATAAAACTTGAGAGATTGAAAGATAGCTTTTTATTAGATAGGCCCATATCATACAACCCACATATTTTAGGTATCTCACTGCTTCTGGTTTTTAAATCACAATTATGCTCATTTCATGGGAACATGGTAACCTATAGTCACTCTCCTTGTCATCCCCGTGCATACCTCTCATATAATGCTCATTTCATCATGCTGGTATCCCTTTTAATATATGGTTTTTAGAAGGAATACTACTAACATTTAATATATATCTATTCCTAAAAAGATCTGTCAGAAAACTAAAATCATCTTGTTTGATTTCAGAATTAGCTACAATGAATAGATATTTGAGCATGAAAATGGAATTCTCGCAAGACAATGTCCTTCTGCTGTGTCTTACAATTCAACATCATGTGTTAGGGAGACCATAGCAGATTATAATTAATTCAGTCAGGATTGTCATTTTAAATACCATTCTAGATAAAACAGTAAAGCTTTTTGAGTAGTTCAAAGGAAGACCTAGTCACCCAGTTCCTTAATTAATACAGAGTTTAGCGAGGAGTTTAACTCAGGGAAAGTACATTTCTGAGAGGGACTGGTGTCAATACTAATATGGCATGTCGGTCTGTTAAATAATGTCTTATGGAGAACAGGACAATAAACATGGTGCTTAATGGTTAGCTGTTTTGCATGGAAAATCACGTCTTTTCCTGATGTCTCTGCCAGGGCCGCATCAGTTGTACTGGACGCCTAATGGTACAGGCTGTCAACCAAAGAGGTCGCAGTCCCCGCTCTCCCTCAGGCCATCCTCATGTCAGAAGGTATTTCACATGTTCCTTCCTGTAGGTGTTACTATTTTCAGTTATTACTATAAATTCAACACTGTTAGAATCATGGTGTGACCACAAAACGGTGAACGTAGTCGGAAGACCGAAGAATGCGAATACGGTCTCAAGGCGTATACATTGCCTGGCTCCTTGATTATTCTGCTCCCTTGCAATTCAGAAAAGGGAAAGGAACAGTCGCTAAGGTCGCTAAGCCCAGTTAGATACACTATCACTAATTTGTTAAATAGGGCCCAGTTTGTATCTGAAGAAATCAAGACTCAGCACCTTTAAATGGCAGGCACGTTAACATGAAAATCTAGTGAATGGTACAGAAAGATTCAAAACCAAACTTCTCCAACCAGCAGCTGTCTAGACTAGCCATGACAGATTACTGCCACTACATTTCTTAAAATCAGCTAGTTTGCTAATGTTCACTTTTCAGTCACTTAGTTCAAAACAGTTTAGATGACAATTTTGTAGGTAAGATGTGCCCTCCTTGAAATGTTCACAGCAAGTACTTGCTAACAGTAGAGTGTGCTTTCTCTTCCTAGTCGTCCTGAGCTTATGCAAGGATGTTGACGAGATAATAGTAGGCAGGGACGAGGAAAGGATATCCTTCCTAGTAACTTATTTGCACTTAAGAAAATATGGTAAGTCACCCAGCCTGTCATCCTGGGTTCCTATTTAGATATTTTACAGAGCCTGCTCCAATAGCCCTGACTGCAAACTGCAGGCCACAGATGCAAACACTGGTGGTGAAGAGAATGTATGCTAAATTAGGCTCAGCCAGGAACACTGAGGAAAGTCAGCCAGGAACACTGAGGAAGACACCAAACAAGTGCTCTGTCTACACCTCATGTGACTGGATGCACAGAGCCCTCTGCTCAAAACTGTGGAAGACAATTCTGATACCTAAACACATGGGGGTTTAATACTCTTGTTTGTTCACAAGAACCTAGGCCTGTGTGTATGGCTGTAAACAACGTATTGAGTAGCAGATCCAGTCTCTTGCATTATTTTCTTCTGCTTTTCTTGTGTCTTTAATACATTCAAGCTTTTCCATGTGTCAGTGTCTCCTAGAAAAGCATTCTGCTCAGAAATTAGATCTGTACTTGAACAGTAAACTACATAAAAAAGCTGGCAGTTACTAGCCTGTTAGACTGATCTTTCATTTGTTCTACTCTTTTTCTAGTTAAATGTTTTTAAACTTCTAGTGATTAGTGACAGAATTTATGTTCAATACCTTGTTCCTTCCTTACATCTTCCCTGCAATTACTTTAAATTGGTGTTGCTCTGAAAGGTGCCTCCAGCAACATACTCAAAAGCAAGAGAGATGCACAAAATCTGGGAGATTTGCACAATTTTAATTTAAAGCTAAAAAATATAATTTATTTTCCTCGTTTATATAAAAGGAATTTTGATTAGAAAGATGAAATTTTTACAAAATAAGAAATTTTAATTTCCTATAAATTTCAAATCACAGTGGAAAGTTACACTTTCTGTTGGAAAAGATTTGGTAATAAATGAGCAACAGCCACTGCTACTTCTCATACAGCTTTCAAAAATACTTATTTAGGAAAAAACAGGTTAATATAGAGTACTTCATTTTTTCCCATTTCCCTTTTATGATTTATATTAGCTTTAAGGAGTAGGATAGCAGAATTATTTAAGTTCTGAAATAAGCACACTATTAAATTCATAATAAACTTTTCAAATGAAACAAGATTTTGCTGACTTTTCTGACTTTATGTGTAAACTTTAGGAGTCGTAATCATGTAAACAAATTATATTATTACTCCATGTATTATTAAAAAAATCAAGAGCCTGAAAATAACTTCTATCTTCCTCCCTCCTCCTACCCCTTTGTTCTTGCCTTTCCTTCCATCTTTCTGTTTATTATCTGTCTTGTCCTAAGGCCTCGTTCTAGATCAAGGGACAGTGGAGACGAAAATGAACCAATTCAAGAGCGATTCTTTAGACCTCACTTCTTGCAGGCTCCTGGAGATCTAACCGTTCAAGAAGGAAAACTCTGCAGAATGGATTGTAAAGTAAGTTTGTTACTGCCTGCAAATCTCTTGCCTCCCTTCCCCCCCCTTACTGCCATTTCTCTTGAGTTCCTTTTAGGGAAATTATGTAAGGTGTACATCTTTAAAATGTTTCCAGCCTACAGGAAAAAAAAAAAGGAGTGACATATACTGGATGTTTATATACTGTTCTGTCATTCTTTTCCTTTTAAATTTTTATTAAATGTGTTCTTTATTTAGAACCCCACATACCATACTGTATACAGTCACTGGGAGGTTTTTTCCCTTTAAGTTTCCCATTTTGTTGAAGTGATAAATGTGTTAAATCTGTCATGTCCTAATAATTCATTTATCTTCATTCTTTTTTCATATAAATGTTGTAGCCATGTATCTACTCTTTCATTCCTCCCCTTTCTAAGAGCAGTTAGAGTGACATCCTTCTCTTACCCATTTCACAGCAGGGCTGCTTAACCCAGGGCCTCTGGGTGGTAGGCAGGTTTCATTAGGTGTGAGTTCTGAAATTGCATACAAAATTATGTGTATGATATAGCTTTCTTCAATTTCTAAAAGGAGCTTGAGGCCAGAAATGTTTAATAACCACTGCTGTGAAATTTTTTTGTTTTGTTTTTTTGCCCCATTATTTATTGATCATAAATTTTAGTTAGTTCTTAAATATGGATACGGTTTTTAAAATTTGAGCTCCCTCTGCTGTTTCTCTCTGGGATTGCAGAACACAAATATAAGACACTTGGAGGATTAAATCTGGGTTTATAGAAATGTATTTTAAAAAAGTACTCTTGGGGGGCGCCTGGGTGGCTCAGTCGTTAAGCGTCTGCCTTCAGCTCAGGTGGTCCTGGGATCGAACCCCGCATCAGGCTCCCTGCTCGGCCAGGAGCCTGCTTCTCCCTCTCCCACTCCCCCTGCTTGTGTTCCCTCTCTAGCTGTCTCTGTCAAAAAAAAAAAAAGTACTCTTGGGGTGCCTGGGTGGCTCAGTTGGTTAAGCAGCTGCCTTTGGCTTGGGTCATGATCCCGGGGTCCTGGGATCAAGCCCCAGGTCAGGTTCCTTGCTCAGCGGGGAGCCTGCTTCTCGCTCTCCCACTCCCCCTGCTTGTGTTCCCTCTCTCGCTGTGTCTCTCTCTGTCAAATCAAATCAATATTTATTTGACAGAGACACAGCGAGAGAGGGAACACAAGAAGGGAACACATTTAAGCTTTAAGAAGAAAAAAAATCATGAAAATAAGCCTATCACTGAAGCAACAGACAGATTTTCCCCCAAAAAAGCACTCCCCTGCCTTTTAAACCCTTTAGGTATTCCAGATGCTCACTACCCTTGACTTGGTACTAAGTGCTAAGGGAAAATAACTAATCCAACTCTACTAGTAACAAATCTGCTCATCTGCCTCCTCCCATTTCCATATCAGCTGAGAGCATGCTTCTGTTCAAGTTATGACCTGCTTACAATGACCTTAGATTCCTGAAATCGGACTTTTCTTTACACAACCAGAAGGGCTGGGATTCAAATAGGGGTAGAAGAACCGGGCGTTTTCCCTTTGCCTTAATGTGATTAACTCTGTCCATGGCATAGATGCACTGTGAATTAGGGGGGCTGAGTGATGCTCCTACTACACACACCATGGCCTTGTTCAGGGTCTAACCGAGCAAGATGGCAACAAGCAGTGCCACTTTACTTCCAAACCTGGGGAAGGCCCGGAGCCCAACCAGAGGTGTGCATTCCCTCTTCCTCCATACCACCTCTAGGGGTCTCCAAGCAGGGAGAGCAGTGAATGTGGGGCTGGGGGGAAGCCAGTACACAGAGAGGAGGACAGAGAGGCAGACCGTCCCAATAGCCAAGCCAACTACTGCTGTCTTCCAAAGTTTCCTTATTTTTTCTCCCTTAAATTCTCTAGACCTTTGTTACATGTATGGAGAGAGGCATCTTGTAGGTAATATAAATGAATATCACACAGCAAGAATGGAATTTGGCAGAGTGAGGTTTTCAAAAGAATTACTTTACAGTCCAACCGACATCTTTTTGTATGCAATTCCCACTAGTAAATTTGGGATGGCAGTAAGAAAAAAGCTATCCTTAACCATGCTTTTCTTCCCTTTCACAATCAAAGGCAAAACTATAAAGAGCTGACAGATGGCAACCATCCCTACCCTTCACAGCACAACGTGCTATTAGCAATTAAATGTACTTTTATCTGATCTCTGGTCAACACAACTGTCCTGGTCTCAGGATTTTATGTTTCCATTGGGATGCTGATTTGTAGAGACGGCTTCTGGGTAATTTCCTATTGGTCTTGTTACTTCGTTTCAAGGATTATAAGATAGTAGTAATAGCTCCGTGTGCTGATGGATGCATTAACTGATGTCTCCAGAGCTACGGCAACCCTTTGAAAACAAGCTTTATAGTGTATACATGCCAGCTGAGTATGTGCTATTGTTACTGCGTTTGGATACCTTTTCAAAGAGCTCAGAGCCCTGTGCTGACATCAGCCCAGTCGTCTTTAGGACCCTGGTGAGGTAAGACAAGAAGAGAAATTTTTAAAATCCCCACTTTACTTTTCTCTAGGTTGCTCTACAAGAGATGTTTAGAAGTGAGGCCATGCTTGCTTAGGAAGCCATTGAAAGGTTGAAGCAAAAGAGCAACATGAGCTGACACCAAAAGCCATCTCTTGTACTACCGAAGGAGGAATTCATGGTGGTTTCCTAGCTGTTACTGATTTCGTCTTGTTTCAGTATTACAGAAATTTATATGCTCCTTTCTGGTTTAGGTCAGTGGGTTACCAACCCCAGATCTAAGCTGGCAACTAGATGGAAAACCTATACGCCCCGACAGTGCTCACAAGATGCTTGTGCGTGAGAACGGGGTGCACTCGCTGATCATAGAGCCAGTCACCTCACGAGATGCCGGCATCTACACGTGTATAGCCACCAACCGAGCAGGACAAAACTCATTCAGCCTGGAGCTTGTGGTTGCTGGTAAGCAAGTCTGTGAAATTTTTCTCTCAGAATGAATTATCAGATTCAAAAATGTAAAGTAATCCTGCATTACTAACCAATATGGAAAATAAATCAAACTGCTGAAAAAATAGATTGTATCATCAAAATAGCCAATTAGGACATAAGGCTTATTAGCAAATCAGGGACATAAATTTTTTTCAGTGTAGCTGTCATTATTTATGTTTCCTGTCTCCCATTAGCCTGGCCAAGAGGGGAGTTTAGCAGCTGTTCTGGGTCATTCTATTCCTCATGTGTGTGTTGGCCTCCAGTGATACAGAGAGAAAGAGCAATGGTATCATAGATTCCAGAACCAAACTTGATATATAAGAATTTGCTCATACATTTAAGAACTTGCTCATGCTCAAAAGTTCTACCCACTTTTTAAAGTAATGTGCACTGGTGTCAAAATTCAAAAATTTGAAACATTATCATCTACCTCCAGTGTCATGGTCAAATTCAGATTTGCTTTTTTTTAATGAATTATACTTTTAGGTAAATTTCGTAAAATTACATAATATATAAAGTCTTACCCTTAGATAAGGAAGGTTTATAATATCCTTAGGAGCTGAGCATAAGTAAGAGTCTGTTATCTGTTCTCTTTTTAAAAAGAATGTTTATTTCTCATACCCCTGTTTGCAAAGTGCTTCATTTACATTATCTCAGCTGCTCCTCACAAACACCCTCAAAGATAATTGGAGCAAATTTTCTTCATTTTACAGGTGTGGAAGTTAGAGTAAGTGACTTTCCCAGGGCCCTATTTAGTGAACTGAGGGCCAGAGGCCAGACTCACATAGTCTGTTGACTCGGAGTGCTCTTCCCCACACTGTGAGCCACTGAGCTCTTTCAAGAAATAGAGTCGCCGTGAGAATAAAGTCGAGGAGGTCCTGGCTAAAGTCCTGGATAATGATTCTAATAAAAGTACCAGGACATTTTTCACACAAAAATGTCAGAAATACCCAGGCTGTCATGCTGTGTGTTAACCATGCTTTCAAATTTTACATCAGGTATTTGATATTCCTACACAACTAGGATCAATTTCATCCAACCCTCTAAACATCCCTCCTCCAGCTAAAACTGTTCAGCATTCTGCTGTTGCATGTTCCCTTGCATCCTGTCTGCCCTTTCAGGAGTGAGACAGGAAGGTCTAAGAGACACAGGCATCTTGGTCTGTGCTCAGTCAGCACTTGCATGGGAAAGGTGGGCAGAGGGCACTGTAAGTAGAAGCCTCACATCTTTGGCATCAGCTCTCAGTTCCAAGCCCAGCTGTCATGGATCAGCTACGTCCTTTGGCAAATAGAGAACATCTCTGCAGCTCGCTTCCCTCGTACATAAAATAGGGGCCGTAAGGCGTGACAGAGTCTTTCTAAGGACTGTCATTTTATAAGGATTAAATTGCATGAAGCTCTACATTACCACCAGTACCCTGCATAGCAGTGCTCCAAAATGGTGGATGTGATTCTACTGGAGATTGCTTTGACATTAAGGTTCATCTTACACCTTTTATGCTCTTCTCAAAACTGGGATCCAGAAAGAATATTAATTGAGGTCTGTTCCTACTTCCTCCGAAATAGCCTGGGTCAGGAAACCATGTGAAATACAATAAAAGTATAACCCTCAACATCATTCAAAGTCTTAGAGAGTCTTAGGTATTTGAAATTTTCAGGTACAGTTTTTATCCTCTTCACCTGTTTGTTTCTCCCCTGTTTTGCTTTGATATACCTGTCACTCCAAAGGAGAGGGTGGTGGATAGAGACATGTATTCTCAAATGCATTATTGGTAGCTTAGAAGAAAACAAACTTTATTCTTTCTCTGAAATTGTTTCCACCACAGATCTATGAAAACAATTTCCCATCAGATAGTAATATTCAGAGAGTTATTAACAAATAGTTCTGATTTTTTCAGACTAAGTAACAAAGTTGTCTCTTTTATGGCTTCCTTCCTTCAGGGTAATAAGTCATCTTTTTATAGCTTCCTTCAAAGAATACAAATTGGAATTCGTAATTTATAGGATGTACATTCCTAGTTTATAAGTAACAATTTAAAGCTGCCAAATTTAGATAAAGATGTCCCCCCACTCTTTTCCTCCTTTAAATCCTATGGTATGTCTCACTTAAGCCAAGACTTACAAATCTTCAGAATCTCCATAGCAAACATTTCGGACAGCAAAGAGGGCATTTGAGTGGATCAGATTCCTAGAAATACTTGTTCTCCTCAGAGTCACTAGGTGGCAGTGGTTGGTAAAGGCTGTGAGTGCTTGGTGACATCATTGGTAGTGAAGCCATCCCAGATGCTAGCAATGACTTAGGAGTGTCACGCAGCCTGTCAGGCATTCTGTGGGGCAGATGGCCAGTGGACTGTGTGGGCCTGTCAGACTTGAATTAATTGACGAAATAAATGAGTGGAATGAAGCACAGGAACCTTTCTTAGGAGAGAGGACGAGCATCTTACCACCTGAAGTGAAAAATGGTATCATAAAATAAAAGATCCATTTAAACAATGTTTCTGTAAAAGCTTCAGAATTCTTTATAGGGCTATCTTTGTATATATCACTGATCGATAATTCATCTGCTGTTTCCTTAGCCAAAGAAGCACACAAACCCCCCGTGTTTATCGAGAAGCTGCAAAACACAGGAGTTGCTGATGGGTACCCAGTGCGACTGGAATGCCGTGTTTCAGGAGTGCCACCGCCTCAGATATTTTGGAAGAAAGAAAATGAATCACTCACTCACAGCACTGACCGAGTGAGGTGAGAACGTACGATGACTTAGTCCACCTCTGTTCAATAGGTCCTAAGGATACATAAAAAGATGCACTTTATATAGCACATAAATTTGCGTAAGAGTCATGCTATTGATGGTGTTGAGGACAAAAATCACTCTTTACCCTCATGTATAATTAAGCCTCTGGAAGGAAGCTCTAATGGTATGTGATGAAGCACATTTTAACTTAATTTCATGGTGATTTTTTTTAAGTGTTTACATCTAGAAGAAAAGATGAATTCATTTGCTTCAGTGGTGATACAGAAATTATTCAGTGGGTTTTGTAAAGGCTGATCCTCCACTAAAAATTAAGTGCACACATTTATTCAACCTCTTGATGTCTCCTCTTCTCTCCCATTAACTTTAATGGGGCTAGCAGCCTTTCCAGAATAAGTATGACCCTATTATCCACTACTTGCACAATTCTGTTTCTAATGATCTAATTAAAAATGATGCTTCATGTCCAAAGCCACTTTTTAAAAATTTAGAACCCTAATGACTTTATCCGTTTCTCCAGCATGCACCAGGATAATCATGGCTACATCTGCCTGCTCATTCAGGGGGCCACAAAAGAAGACGCTGGGTGGTATACAGTGTCAGCCAAGAATGAAGCCGGGATTGTGTCCTGTACTGCCAGGCTGGATGTTTACAGTGAGTGCCACTTCATCTCATCTCATTGCACTTATTCATTAAATCATGAAAAAGTAGACATCTGGGCAGCAAATCACATTACTTTTATATAAGCTTATAAACAGCTGCAGTGTTTTATTTGCCCCAAATTTCATATTGCTCTTTCTCTTTCTATTTATAGTTTCTCAACATTAATAGTGAACTACACCAGGAGAACAAATACCCAAGTATCATTCAGGAACTTTGCATTATTAGCAAAATATGCATGTTGATTTCTCTTATGTTGGCTAGTCAGTTGTGGCTTCCTTACTCAAGCATCCCTTGGAGTTAACAGTAGGCAAAGGCATAACCACGTTTTTCACATTTTCTTGTTACTGTGTTTTGCAAATGACTGCCTTTTAACATTTCTTGCTATATTATAATCCTATCACAGTGTCTTAATGCACTCTAAATGTGTGTACCATTGATCCTGGAATGCATCCTTTCTGTGGCTTAGCGCTTTTCTCTTTAATATCCCTTAAGCAGCTCAGCAATAGGTTTGTGTGTTTGTGTATGTATATTTGTGTACATGCATCTTAAATTTAAAGAAACTTCTTTCTGTTGAATTCACAGACTAGTACAGTAGCATTATGTGATCTATTGACATAAAAAAAACCACCAGAAAAAATTAAGAACTGATTTCAATTTCACCTCTTGCTAAATAGGAAATAATTTTGTAAGGTTCTTCAAGTATTGAGTGACCTCAACCTTCCCAACTGCCCACTTCTTTTCAATTGATTAGTGCTGAAACATCCATCTCAAATACCTAACTGCTGTAATTATGACATGTGTACATTTTGTGCTTTGAAGATGTTTTTTAAAGAGAGGGAGAGGTGAGAATTAGGAAGCTGAGAGACTGTTTTGAAGGATTTCCTGTGCTGCAGTATTTGCTCTAAAAGAAACTACACTTCTTTACTACCTAGCTGTTTTAGTCCCACTACCCTGGACAGACAGTAAATCTGCAACACATAAAGAAAATGCAAAACTGTGCTTACATTTTAGGATTTCTAACATGCCAAAGAACATGTGCCTGGTATATATATAAGACATTCTCTATTTACTTGAAACATTTAAATGCTTTCCAGTGACATCTTGGGGGTTTTTTTAATCTTATTTTTATTTTTTTCCTTTTTTATTGTAGCCCAGTGGCATCAGCAGCCACAGAGCACCAAGCCAAAAAAAGTACGGCCCTCAGCCAGTCGCTACGCAGCACTTTCAGACCAGGGACTAGACATTAAAGCAGCGTTCCAACCTGAAGCCAGCCCATCTCACCTGACACTGAATGCCGGCTTGGTAGAAAGTGAGGACCTGTAATCCAACATTCTTGTTAACGCTCAAACACTGAAACAGCCATTGCCTTGACCAACATATTCCTTTTTCACATTATGTAATGGGAAAACATACCTTTGACTATAAGAAATAAACACCAAAATAATATTTTTCTTACTTGATATACCAAACTTAGAGTTTAAGTAGGTGATGCTCATAGAAATGTACACATTGCACAGAAAATTTACATTCATCATCCAACTTAGAACTTGTGGAATTTCTGTGATGAAAGCGATCTGAAATGCCAAAATGCTAATGGAAATCAACTGTTCAAAGGTAACCAGAATTTGTAGTCTCCAAAGTGCCTTAAACACTAGCTGTAGGTGCTACACGGCATGACAGTGTGGAATGCTTAACAGGAGGCAAATGTACCACAAATAATACTAAAACGATTCTAAGTGGGCAGTGTGTTCAGACAGCTACAGTGAACCAAGTACAGTATATAGGGATGAAAAGGAAGAGGAAATGACAAAACCAAGTAAATGCCTTGTTTTTGCAAAATTGTTTTATATTAAATCACAAGGAAGGAATTACTTGCCTTAAATTTTATTAGTATCGAGAGTTATCTAACAAGGTTAATACCTTAGTTCTTAACCACCTTTTTCTATATGTGTAGTATTTTCTTTTCATGCTACCTTGGTAGGAAGCTTACTTACAAACCATATTAAAAGGCTAATTTAAATATAAATAATATAAAGTATTTTGAATAAAGCAAAACTGTATTACAGTCCATTCCACAGAAGACATCCAAATCACCCAAATGACCAAGGCGTATGGTATCCAGAGGAAAGAGGGGTCTGGAAGGAGTAGGAAGAATGAAGGAAAATGCTACCAGCACACTTGTACTCATTTAGATAAAAGTAGAAGGGGCAGGAGACGTGGCGAAGGCCAGGCTTTTCTTTGGTTTTCCTCAAAAGTAACCTAAAGTGTAGGTGAAAATACACTGCCATTCAAAAGTCAGGGGATCTAGGGTCAGCTGGGAGATTGGAGCACATGTGCTGTGGAAGTTTCAGTGTGTCTGAAGTCTGTGTAGTCGCTGAAGAGGTTAGCTGTGTCGAGCAAGTGGAAAATGGACTGAGACTGCAAGATTGGCATCAATGAGAAACTGCCTGTAGGAGCTAGTCTACTGGAGGGAAGTGGAGACTTGGTTGAGACAAAAACAGGTTTGTGCCATAATTTTTTTTCCAATGGCACCGTGATACGGTGAATGGAAAATATGAGTTCACTTCCGTGCTGCCATGCAACCTTGCCTTAAGAAGGTGCTGGGTTCCGGATAGTTTGTAAAGGCATCTCTGCAAAGACTGATTTTTGAATGCATATGATCTTGCAACAGCTAGACTGACACGATTCTGACCAGACTTGATGGTTTTAAGTCGGAACCAATAAACTTTTAAAAAGGAGAAAAAAAACAATTTGGCCAGATATTATGTTATAAAACGTGAGGTTTTAATGGTACTTTGCTATGAAAAGAAAACACTGTATTCCTTATGCAAAACACATATATCTTTCATTATTTATAATAAAAATGTTGAACTGTCTTAGCTCAGTTAATTCAATACGTAGTATTTTTTAAAATAATTTTATATCTGTGTACCACCCCATATATTTCATATTACTACTTCACATGTACAGCTTTCTACTTCTTTCTAAGAACACCAACCAACCAAGTTTTAAATGATTAATAGGCTTGATCACTGGGTGGCAGATGTTCTTTGCAGAGTGGTGCAAGTTTCTTTGACCACACTTATATGCGTTGCTAATATGGAATTTAAGATACAATACAAAGTCTTTCGTGGACCTATCTATATCGTAGAATTATGACTTAATGTCATATCTTACTTGCCAGATTTTTCTGAATGTGACTGTTTGCTAATTTGCTGGGTTTGGGATTAAGTAGCATTACTTGCCACCTTTTATGTTGTATTTATAAAAAAAGTACTATCATACTACTTTTTGGATTGTTGTGCTGGTGTAATGTGGATTTAACATCAATAAATATTTAACAAATAATAACTGTAATTTTGTGAAGCAAAATATTCCATTGTTTTAGTTTTCTATTGCTGCTGTCATAAATTAGTACAAACTTAGAAGCTTAAAATAATATTAGCTCACAGTTCTACACGTCAGAAGGGCTGGGTTCTCCGCTCAAAGTCTTATAAGGCTAACATTAGCATGCACATCCACTGGACTACAATCTCATCTGGAGCACTTCCAAGTTCAAGTAGTTGTGACAAAATTTATTTCCTTGCAGTTGTAGGATAGAGGCCTCAATGTAATCTGTCAGCTAGGGGCCACTCTCAACTCCTACAGGGCACCTGCAGTCCTTGCCATGTCCTCCCCTTCATCTTCAAAACCAACAAAGAGAATCTTCCTCAGAATGGATCCCTCTCATGCCTTGATCTTGTCAGAAGCCCAGGCCCTTCTAAGGGATCACCTGATTAGGTCAAGACCAAGTGAATACCCCTCTTTCTTAAAATCACCTGATTTTTTTATCTAATTAAAATCCCTCCAAAGCAACACCGAAATTTGTGTTTGGATAACAGAGAAGGTGTGTATACACCAGGAGGTGGGAATCCTGGGAGCCATCTCAGAATTCTGCCTATATGCATGTAAATAATGTTGGTTCCTGTGATGCCCCAGGGGGAAAGTATTCTGTGACCACAAACCATATGCCCTCTCTTGGCATCTATGAAATTAGAGAGGGTTCTGGTTCAAGATGGTGACACAGGATCCTGAACACACCTCCTCCCACAGACACACCAAATCAACAACATACCTAACAGTTTCTAAACCTACAATCAGGAGGGACCTCAAAACCCCGGGGTTCAGCCTCAGGACCAAAGGATTTGAATCCCACATGAGCACCCCAACTTTTAAGAATGCACCTGAGAGATAAGCCCCCAAAACATCTAGCTTCACAAGCCAATGGGACTTACATCCACAAGGCCCACAAGGCTGTAGCAATCTGACAAATGGTTCTTAAAAGGCTCCCACGGGGTTGCCCACCCTAGAGACCAGTCTTTCTGTGAAAGAAGCCTATTTGCTTATCTTAAAGCTTCAGCCTGAGGGTAGACACCTAATTTAACAAACATCTAGGGGTACACTGAAATAATCTCCGAAGACTGAGGCTGGTGAGTACCAACCTTCTCCATGCTCACCACCCCCCGCCTCACTCCGGGTCACCAGTATGTCCCAGAAAGAAGCTTGTGCAAATGTCTGGCACCCTGGTTTCTGCAGCTGCCGCCCAGGAGACGCCCATTGATTGCCTGGCTGGGGTGGCTTGTGGAGGCAGGTCCCCTGGGACTGTAACAGAGAAGCAGTTCTTAACCACCTACTGCCCAAGGGCAGAGCAGGGGCAGAATGAAACAGTCTTTCTGCGAGAGAGGACTATTTGCTTATCCTTAGAGCTGGAGGCCGAGGGGCAGGCTTCTAATGAAACACGCATCTAAGGGTGAACTCGAATCCTCTCCAGAGGCCTCCAGGGCCAGTCCCTGTCTTCACACTCTCCCTCTGCCTCACTCCAGGTTGCTGCTATCTCCCCAAAGGGAGCTTGTGCACATGTCCGATGCCCTGGTTTTTGCAGGTGCTGCCCAGCAGACACCCCTTGACAGCCTGGCTCTGGGACCAGAGGATTTATGTTCACGAGTCCCATAAGACTGTAATGGAGAGGGGCGCCTGGGTGGCTCAGTTGGTTAAGCGGCTGCCTTCGGCTCAGGTCATGATCCCAGGGTCCTGGGATCGAGCCCCGCATCGGGCTCCCTGCTCAGCGGGGAGTCTGCTTCTCCCTCTCCCACTCCCCCTGCTTGTGTTCTTTCTCTCGCTCTGTGTCTCTGTCAATTAAATAAAATCTTTAAAAAAAAAAAAGAAAAGGCTGTAATGGAGAAACAGTTCTTAACCAGCTTTCCCCCACTCAAGACACAACAGAGAGGCAGCAGACTGAAAGGCATTGCCAGGTCTCTCTGTGAAAGAGGACGATTGGCTTGTCTTCATAGCTGTGCCCTGAGGGGAGGCTTGTCCATTAAATACACTTCTAGGGGCTGACTACAATCCCGGGCTGACTACAATCCCTTCCAGAGACCCGGAAGGCTAGCATCGCACCATCTTCAAGCTCTCCCTCCGCCCCACCTCAGTTCACCGGGATGTCCAAGAAAGGAGCTTGTATCTACATCTGGTACCCCTGCTTTCCTGGCTTCTTTCCGGCGGGCACATCCCTTGACAGCCTGGCCCTGGTGGCCAGCAGGGCTTGTGTTCGTGGGCTCAACAGAATGGTAGCAAACAAAGAAACAGCTCTTAACTGGCTATAACCCCAGGTTTTGGTGCAGAGGCAGCAGATACACCCTCCTCCCGGTCTTCCCCTGAAAGAAGTAATATTTGCATACTTTAAATGTTGCTAAGAATCTGGCTTCCAAACAGCCTGAATCTAGGTGCCGACTGAGGTTCTCCATTTGGCACAATGACAGGTCTTGGCACAGCCTCAACTACTAGGAACCACTAAAGATGAAGTAGGCTGCTTGGACAATAACAAAAATTTGAGCTAGGGCTGGATTGGACAATAAAATTCATCTCCTACACAAGGCTACTCCCTCAAGACTGGGATAGGTGGATATTTGGATATTTTATCCAAAGCATAAAAACCAACAGAGTGTCAAGGAAAATGAACAAACACAGAAGTACATTCTAAAGGAAAGAACAAGATAAAACATCAGAAAAAAGACCTTATTGTAATGGAAATAAGTAACTTACCTATTAAGAGTTTAAAATAATATTCATAAAGATGCTCACCAAGCTCAGGAAAAGAATGAACAAAGTGTGAACTTCAAAGAGAAAGAAAATATAAGTCAGTACCAAAGAGAAGTCACAGAGCTGAAGAACACAGTAACTGAACTGAAAAATACAATAGAGCGGCTCAACAGCAGACTAGAGGGAAAAAATTAGAGAAGATGATGGGAAAAAAGACTAGATGAAGGAAAAAGGATCAGTGAACTTGAGGATAGAGCACAGGAATTCATTCAATCACAGCAGCAAAAAGAAAAATGAAGAGAGTGAAGATAGCTTAAGGGACTCGTGAGACAACATCAAGCTGATCAACATTTGCAGTATAGGAGTCTCAGAGGCAAAAAGAGAAAGAGGCAGAAAATTTATTTCAAGAACTAAGGGCCGAAAATGGGAGGGAAACAGATGTCCAAATCCAAGAAGCCCACAGAGTTCCAAAAAAGATGAACTCAAAGAGACCCACACCAAAACACATTATAATTAAAGTGTCAAAAGTTAAAGACAAAGAAAAAAAATCTTAAAGGCAGCAAGAGAAAAAGAACTTGTTACATACAAGGGAAGCCCCATAAGACTATCAGCAGATTTTTCAGCAAAAACTTTGCAGAGGAACTGGCATGATATATTCAAAGTGTTGAAAGAAAAAAAAAAGTCCAATCAAAACTATACTACCCAGTTACCATTCAGAACTGAAGGAGAGATAAAAGAGTTTTCCAGACAAAAGTTAGTTTGTCACCATTAAACCAACCTTACAAGAAAGGTTAAAGGGACTTTCTTAAGGTAAAAAGAAAGGGCACTAATTAGTTGCAGGAAAACATACGAAAGTATGAATTTCATTGGCAGAGGTAAATATATAGTAAAGGTAGCTTTATAAAGCTAGAATGGAGGTTAAAAGACAAAAGGAATAAAATAACTAACAATAATTAGTTAAGGGACACACAAGATTAAAAGGTATAAACTGTGACATGAAAAACATAAAAAGGGTGTGGTAGAGTAAAAAAGTCAGCTTTAGAATGTGTGCAAATTTAAGTCATTATCAACTTAAAATAGACTTATCAACGTAAGTTGTTTTATGTAAGCCTGATGGTACCCACAAAGCAGAAACCCACAGTAGACACACAAAAGCTAAAGGAATCTAAACATACCACTACTGAAAATCATCAAATCACAAAGGAAAAGGGCAAGAGAAGGGAAAAAGAACTACTAAACAACCAGAACAAATTAACAAAATGACAATTAGTACATACTTATCAATAAATACTTTAAATGAAAAGGGACTAAATTATCCAATAAAAGACACAGAGTGGCTGAATAGATAAAAACCAAGACCTATCTGTATGCCTTCTACAAGAGACTTCAGATGTAAGAACACACACACACTGAAAGTGAAGGGATAGAAAAAGACATTCCATGAAAATGGCAACCAAAGGAAAGGTGGGGTAGATAAAAGTCTTTTTTTTTCTGATATTAGTTAAGACAGTAATGAGACAAAAAAGGTCATTATAAATAATAAAGGGGTCAATCCAACAAGGGGATATAATATTTGCAAATATTTATGCACCCAACACAGGAGCACCTACAGATATAAAGCAAATATTAATGCAAATATAAAAGCAAATATTAGATCTAAAGGGAGAAATATATAGCAATATAATAATAGCAAAGGACTTTAATACCCCACTTTCATCAACGGATAAATCATCCAGATAGAAAATGAGGAAACAGTGGCCTTAAACAATACATTAGACCAGATGGACTTAAAAGACATATACAGAACATTCTATCCAAAAGTAACAGAACACATTCTCAAGCACACATGGAACATTTTCCAGAGCAGATCACAGGTTAGGCCACAAAACAAGTCTTAATAAATTTAAGAAGATTAAAATCATATCAAGCATCTTTTCTGACCACAATGGTAAGACACCAGAAATCAATTACAAAAAGGAAACTGGAAAATTCACAAGTATGTGGAGATTAAACAACATGATACTGAACAATGAGTCAAAGAGGAAATCAAAAGAAAAATAAAAAAATACCTTGATGAATGAAAATGGAAATATATCAAAACTTACAGAATATGCAGCAAAAGCAGTTCTAAGAGGGAAATTCATAACAATAAATGACTACATTAACAAACAAGAAATATCTCAAACAACCTAATTTATACATCAAGGAACTAGAAAAAGAAGAACAAACAGCCCAAAATTAGTAGGAGAGAAATAACAAAGAGCAGAGCAAAAATAAAT